TTACACAAAGTTTACATAGTAACTTCCTCACCCAAATGTTTATCACTTCCCATATATGAGAGGGTACCATAAACCATTCTACCTCCACAGACTGAATAATTATAAATCTATAATTTTTATCATTATACTTAAGGTTAATTCATGTTTCTACCTTGAAAATGGCAATAATTGAACATAATGGTCAACATTTGTTTTAACTGAAACGATAGGAAAACACTTTTGTTACTAAAAAAACTTGACTAAGATCTTTCCATAGATATATAAGAAATAAATTATTCAATTAAGTCTAGTTTTTTTATTTTAGTATTTAGGTATAATTCCTTTTTTAAAGGAGTATGACTATATATATATACACTTTTTTCTTTTATTTTTGTTAAGAGCCTAAAATGACCTACTTTATAGTATATGTGGTTTCGTTGTTTAACTCCCTTTTTATAGGATTTCTATTTATAACCACTTCCCTTAACCCTGGGGGGATTTAATAGGATTAAAGATTTCTTATTCACTTTGTATTTGAAGTTATTTTTTCCCTCCACCTTTGCTCAGCTAGTGGAATCCATGATGACTTTTCATCTCCAAGGGGTAAGCTGTTTATAGTAAAGTCTGATAGCTGCCTTAGGCCTTCTTAGAAATAGAATCATTTCCTTCCTTTTCCTGTTTTTGTTTCTGGTAGAATGATAGAATCCATGTAGACACAATAAGTTTTAATGCTTAAGTATTTTTAAGCATGTAATGGCTATAGTTTTGTTCAGGTAAATATGAAACAAATATCTTAGCTCATAGCAGAGAAATGAATAAGAGCATTTAGGATTTTACTTGTTTAGCATGAGTAAAATTACACTAAGGGAAGTAAAAGATAGAGGCACCCTGAGTTCATCTGAGGATATAGATTAATGTTGCACTGTGTTTGAGAGGGTAGGATTGGTAAGAACAGCCGATGGGATCACAGAATGGAAGTTGGAAGAAAGATAATTAGGTGATAGGTAATTTGAGTAATGATTTAACCAAGGGTTTTCTAACATTTGGGTACCTCTATAGGAGACAAAACTTCTTGCATTTGACATGTTGTGGAATTCATTTAACATGCTAAGTCAAAGAAATAAAAACAAATAAATAAAATATACATAAAGGGAAAATAAATGAAAAAATAACCTTTATACACATTATATTATAGTGTTCTTTTTCTTACAAAATGTCCTTCAGTTGTTATTTTTTAATGTACTAATGAAAAATACTTGAACGCATTGATTATTCAAATCCTTTTTTTCTATAAAGAAACTAAAACAATGTTCTTATTCTACCATATAGAAATAATATTTTAAACACAAAATATTAGTTTCTGGTGAATTCCACAGCAAAATAATTTATTACACAAACTGTTTTTGAAATAGATGTTTGTATGTCTTGACAATGTGGTGCAATAATGATTAGAGATTTTGTTCAGGAATACACAGCTATATTACAATTATGAAAGTCTTCCTGATTTTACTTTTTTTAAAGGACGTCATTAATAATCTTGGCTGATTACAAAGCATGTGTCTGTCAGAAGAATTAGAGAATCACCCAACTAGAGAACAGGTTTTACGATAGCTTGAGATGAATTATGTTCATTAGAGGGGAAAATAACTTGTTTTAAGCCTAAATTGACATGCTTGCTAATTTCAGCAGTAAAAACTGTTCCTTCTGGTCAGGTTTAATTTAGAGTTTGGGAAAATTCAAATGAAAGTTGATGGAGTTACTTTTACAACACACTTCTCAAAATAACATGAAAATCCTAAAAGTAACAAAAGTAGAGCAAGCATCAAGTAATGTTCCTGCAAGTAAAAAAGCTACTAACATTTGAACATGAATTAATATGAAATTTAAAAAGACAATCTGAGAGTTACTTCTTATAGAAAACTTTTCAATTGTTAGAAATAATTTTCACTAGTTATGCAACCATACTAAAAGTGTTTGTTCACTGCCACATCCAAAGACCCTACAAAATCTATGATTTGAAACAACAAACAAAAAAAGTAATAACATAATTGATGAAGTAAATGTATGGATTAATTTACATCCTTTTAACTATATGCATCATAGTCAAGCTAAGTGTTTGGCATTATCTATAGTTTTAGCATAACATTGGAAAAGTATATGATCGATTAACCATAACCCTGCTGTTGAGAAGATATATTACTAAAGCAACTTTTCAACTGGCTGTATTATACATGATCAACTTTTAACATTCCAACCCTGGAATATGTCTCATTTTATAAAATCTATCTGCAATTGTTGTTCCTATTTTAAATTTTTATTTCAGCACTGTCCAACTTCTTTATGGTACTTACTTCAATGGTTATATTTGGCAATTTGTTCCATATTTCAAACACACTTTTATATAAAGAAACCATAAAAGTTAGAAACCTGAAAATTGTATTTTTCTTCTGAGCAATCACAACTTACCAATGCAGAAGATTTGTTAAAATCTAGCCCCTCTGATTTTTTTGAAACACAAAAGGTACTCTAAATAAATGTATATTATTTGAATAAGTTTCTCATACTATTTTAATATTACAAGAACTCATTGAGACTAAATCTGAAAACTGATTTCCTTACCTATTCAAAAAGGAAATGCAGATTTGCCCTTTCCAAAACTAAAATCCTTATCTGCTACCAAATAACATAAGAGATAAGAAATATTACTAGGTACCAAATTGGATCTCTTCACTTTTATTTTCATCACATTTAAAGTCTCGCAATGTTTAGCTTAGTGATTAAGAGAACAAAACTAAGAGGTGCATTCTGGACAGAGGAACAGATTGGCTAAGCTTAGATCATCACTTCTCCCTCTTCTTCTCTAAATCCTAACCCCCAGTCTCATCCTCATCTCTTTTGCAGCTGTAGCCTCCCTTTTCTCCCCAACCCACTCTCCAGTGGATCATACAAGTCTTTCCTTCCTAATCTTCCTTTATTCCAAGCCCACAACCCCAACTGACACTTCATGGAGCCCAATAGGTCATTTAGACCAGGGAAAATGATATGATAACTGCAGATCTTCACTTTTATTGGAAAAGAAGAGCTCAAAACAGCCTTACTTGCAGATATGATAGTATCCATAAGTGACCCTGAACATTCCATCAGGAAATTCCTACAGGTAATCAGAATCAGCTCTCCTATATACAACTGACATATGCACTAAGAAAAAATTAGGAAAGCAACACTTTTCACAATAGCCTCAAATAATATAAAATATCTGGGGGTAACTTTAACCAAGCAAGTGAAAGATCTGTATGGGAATAATTTCAAGTCTTTGAAGAATATATCAGAAAATGGAAACATCTCCCATACTCATGAATAGGTAAGAAAACTATAGTAAGAATGGCCATCTTACCAAAAGAAACTACAGATTCAAGGCAATCCGCACCAAATTCCAACAGACCTTCAATTCTACACCGACCTTCAAAAATAATTTTCAGTTTCACATAGAAATACCCCAACCACACACACATACACACACCTCAAACAAAGATAGCAAAAATAATTTTGAGTGTTCTTTGGTACAGGAAGGTACTCTGAAAATAAACACCACCATAGCCACAAACCATCTGGTCCTATCTGCAGGGTATACCAGTACAATGCAGTCACAACACTTGTGGGAGTAATCAACCAATGTCTCATTTTACTCAAGGCCAACTTCAAACTTCATGACATGTAACTCATATGTGACATTGCTAGGATGACCAAGAACCCGAAAATAGATTATCTAGGGACCTGTGGTCAAAATACAAAAACAAACAAACAAAAAACAAAACAAACAAACAAAAAGAAATTAATGAATAACATCTGTCAGAATGATTGTTAATAAATGAAAATTAAGGTTTACTTTACCAAACTATAGTAAGATGTATTAAGTTTTAGAACCAAAACAACATAGATTGACTTTTCTCCCATACTTTGTTCATATTTCTAAGGTTTGGGCAATTGAATATAAAGACTAAGATGGCAAATAGAGGAGATTGATGCTTGAAGAAAAAAGGAAGTAATTACTGATTCACATTTATACTTAAAATGTTTTTTAATGTTTAATTTATTATTTTGCATGGTTTTATATAAGTTGCTATTAAATTAAAATTATTTATATGAGGGTTGGAGAGATGCCTCATTGGTTAAGAGCACAGCCATGAAGATTAGAATTTGCATTCCAGCTTCCAGGATTCCATCTTCCAGGGGATAATGAGAACAACTGAGGCTTTCTCGTTGCCAGTTCATCTGAAAATAATGAGAAATACATTTTTGGAAAAATCTTATCTCAAAGTACTAAGGCAGAGAATGATACTATAAACTCCTGTGACCATAGATATTCACACACATGTGTACATATAACACATATAATACATATACACCAATATATATAAAGGACAAGTCTGGGGGCTAGAGTTTAAGTGATTCAATCAAACAATTTATAATCATATGGTATAGTAGATAATTTATTAAAAATGAATATTATATGTGCTTTATTAATTCATTAAGTCTGAAATAGATAGGCAACTTTAAAGATACTTGCTGCAGTTGACTTATATCATCTTCTCATTTTATATGTAGCAAGATTCAGTTACAAAGAAGTTAAATAATATATCTTAAATATATATATATACGTTTTCTTTTTCTAAAATATATATTCATGTTAAATTTGTAGGTTGATATGATTACAAACATAACTAACCCTTTTACAATACAGTGTACATTTACTCTGAAATTACTCCATCTTAATTCCTAGGTAGAGAAACAAGTCTCTAATAAGATTTTCACTTGAAATCATCTTCTATCTAAGAATGAAATGTATTTCACAGTCAGTTATTTTCTATAAAGCCTTATAAGCCGGGGTTCATATCCTGTTACATCTTTTAATTTCTAGAAGTGTTTTGGCTTATTTGAAAATAGCACTTTTCCTTTATGCTCTATAAAAGGACTATACAATGCAGGAGAACTGCCAATGCAAGAGATATTTTCTTTTTCAGGCAACTCTACAAGATTTGGAGCAGAAACGCCCCCAGTTGGAAGAACTCATTACAGCTGCCCAGAATTTGAAAAACAAAACCAGCAATCAAGAAGCCAGAACAATAATAACTGATCAAAGTAAGTCTCTTAATGGGCCAGGGAAAGTTAAGACCAGACACATGGAACTCTCAATAATAGCTCAAAGTATAGAAAATGTGAAATATTTGAGTATGGTAACTTTATCACTGAAGAACATTTTCAGTTTAAAAAGTCATGCAATAACTGAATATAACTCCAATGAATTGCAAATTATGATTTTTGTGAAGTCAGGACGTACATAGTCTCACGGCATTGCATGGTTACTGTGGTAAACGTAGTCTGAAGGGTTACTGTCTCCTGAAGTATCATCTATCTGAGATGGTGTTCATGTAGTTTCCAGACTCTCCCTCCTTACTTCCCTCCCTCCCTTCTTCCCTCTCTCCCCTCTCTCTCATAGTCTTGGTTGTTGGTCCAAGCTAACATTTGTTATGTGAACTATCTTTAATATCTGTCTGCAGTGTCCCTCTATTAGCTATCATTTATTACATATCTTATAAATATCAGAAATTATACATGTACTTATCATGTCTTTACAAAGTCATCTTATGCAATTTCATCTTTTTTTTTTTTTTTTTTTTTTTTTTGGTATACAAGTAATTGGGCTCCAAGTTACTCAGGTTGTTCAAGCTTTCAAAACAAAGAACATAGCTCAGAATTTGCAAGTTCCTTTAAGATTTGACAGCCTGATCCTTTGATTATTATATCACTACTATTTTTTTATGATTTCAATATGATCACTGGAAATAAATATACTTAAGTTCTGCAATTATGTATGGCTTGATCTACTTCCTTAGAGACACTGTCTCTTCCATTTGTTGTGATGTTAATTTAAATAGCTTGTTCATAGTTGTAAAATCTAAACATTGATTGTTGTTCAAACTATGAATTTATATACAAACCAATGAACTAGATGAAAAACATTAATCACTATGACTAGTGAGCTCTCAAATTTTGCTGACTTTCTGTAGTAAAAGTTTACTAGTTTATTCGGATTCAGTCCCCAAATGCGATCTATGAAATCATGTGGAAACCCACATTTCTTTCTTTGTTTAATTTTTTTTATTTATTTTATATAACAAAGTCCATTTAAATGAAAACAAACATTTATAGACAATATTTGGGAATTTGGGCATTGTTCTTTCCAAACTACTTCCTTCAGGTAAGGGGCGCTGTCATGAGGGATTCAAAGAAGATTCAGAAATCCTGGCTGTAGTCTGTAAAGCTGCTTTGTCCAGCTGTTTTGAATGTAGGATCACCTGGTACTCTGTTGCAGGCGGTCTGGCTTGATCAAACCACATTAGTCTTGAAGGAATCCACATCTTTTCATTTTCTGTGGAAACAAAAATAGAAATCCTTTTCACCAGTAGCTTGTCCTTGAACTTAAATTTTGGAGTCAAAGCATTTTTTTTTTAATTTAATTTATTATTTTACATGTCGATCCCAGTTCCCTCTCCCTCCCTCCCTCCCCTCCTCTCTCCCTCCCTTCTTCTCTCCCTTTTACCCTCTCACATGCACTCTAACCACCCTCCCCTCCCATCCCCCCACCCCAATTCCATATGTAGGGGAATGCCATCCAGTTGGGGTCATGTAGATCTGACAGGTCATGTGAAATAGGGACCAGGGCTTCTCTCCTGTCTCTAGATTAAGGCAGTTATCCCTCCATGGGGGATGTGTTCGCAAAGTCCTTTTGTGCACCAGGGATACATCCTGGCTCCACTGTCTGAGGTCCCTTAGACTGCTCAGTCCTTCTGGCTGAGACCCATATTCAGGGGGCCTGAGGTCCCATGCTGGCTTCCCTGCTGTCAGTCTAGTGGCCATTAGCTCCTCCTTGTTCAGGTAAGCTATCTGTATGTTTTTCTGCTGCCTGGTCTTGTCCTCTCCATCTGGATCTGGGTTCTAATTCAACTCAGTGTTTATGTATGGGTGTTTGATCCTGTATTCAACAGGCATTAGTTGAGGGCTACATGGATAAGTTAGTTGTTGATCTCACTCTCCGGGAAGGGCATTTATGATAGCCGTAAACCCACATTACTTCCATGCTTTTGTATCCAGAACATCTTATGCATGTAATAAGCAGATATGGAATGAATATTGCTTATGATAACTTGTCATGAGGCAACCATAAAAGCAGTATCCACTCATGTTTATAGTCTGCTGTTTGTGTCATATGACAAGAGCCCATGTCTGTAAAGATAGTGTGAAATTAGTACCAGTATTGAGCCCAGGAAAAAGAGTAACAATTTGGAAAGAAACTAGGCAGTTTTTTCCCACTATTTTTTGGATAAATAACAAATATGGGATCTATATTCCTACATTAGATTTCACGATGTCATTTGTATAATTAGAATTAAAAGAATGATGTAACAATCAACAGTGAGTTGTTTAATTGATGTTATCAGAACTTAACTTCCCCAAATAGGACCCTTATAATTCTCTACCAGGCTACTATATACCAGCTCAATTAATATGCAAATGCATTATTTCTTGCCTGAGAAAATACAAAAAATTAGTAAAGACATTTATGCAAATCTAACAAGACTCTTAGTCATTTTTTTATTTTGCTAATAAATAATAAATGCCTTTGTCTAATAGAAAGTTAGAATTAATATAATTTGCAATATCTATTAAATATCAGATACAAATTTTCTATTTCCCTGTCAATCTTTTTTCCTATATATTTTTTTTGTATTTTTTCATGATATGGATTTCAACTGAGTGACCAGAGTGCAAGCGTGTATTTCTTAACCAATATTTAGTGATTTGAATAACTGTTTTTCAAAGCTTTTTCTTTTATAAATGAGATGTTTTTAAATGACTCCAGCATAAGAGACCAATTTAATTTAAATAGTCCATTGAATCATGTGATGCTGGGCATTAAAGCAAAACTGCAATCTCACTTCTGAACATTCATAGAGTTGCTATTGCTGCCACTATGATAATTCTGACAAGATATGTTTAGCTAAACAATGTCATTTGTAGCACTGCTATGTTCTAATTTATTTCCCTATTTCAAATCTATGAAATCTGGTGGAAATTCAATACTCATAAAGTTACATTAGTGCTCAAAATATAATCTTTCTTCATATAAAATTTGTTTTCAAGGATAGGATAAGAATAAAATACTTGTTTATAAATTTGTATTTGCTCATTTATTGTTTTGGTCTTCCTTTTTATTGCCCTATATCATCTAGAAATTCTTTAAAAGAATCATTTAAATAGAGAAAATATTTAATACATGTGATATTATATTAATACATTTCCATACTTGGTAAATCCCAGCTCATAATATTGAACAGTTTGGAAAAAATATATGTAGTTATTGCATTCTGTCTTGAGAAAATCCAGTAAATAACCATTTTCCTCACTAGTAGTAATAGAACTCAATGATTAGGTCTAAAAATAGTTATAAGTCTTATTATATAAAACAAATTCATTGATATCTGCTCTTTTCAGTTAATATTTGGCACACTCATGTTTTACTACAAATTCAAGGCTAAATTTCCTTCTAATAGAGTTCATATGACAGATTCTGGCATTGCTCAAGTTGTTAGCTGGAGTGAGATTTGTAGGTGTCTAGACCTTTCTTTAGGTTCAGTTTCGTCTTCAAACCAACAATGGCTCCCTCTTTAATGTTCTCTCTCTCTTTCTCTCTCTCTCTCTCTCTCTCTCTCTCTCTCTCTCTCTGTGTGTGTGTGTGTGTGTCTGTCTGTCTGTCTGTCTGTCTTCTTTCCTACCCTGACTCAATCCTCCTACTCACATGGGCTTCTTTTCCTCCCCTTCTCTATCTCCTAGTTCCCTCTCCATTCACTGCCTCCCCCCACATCCATGTGCGCTGGGGGACTGTCCCTTCCCCCTTTTGTGAAGGACCATATATGAATCTCATAGAATACACCATATATCCTAGTTCCTCTGGTGGTGTGAATTATAGGCTGGTGATCCTTTGCTCTAGGTCTACAATCCATATATGAATGAGTACATACCAGGTTCCTTTTTTGTGACTTGGTTACCTCATTCAGGATGGTTTCTTCAAGTTCTATCCACGTGCCTATGAATTTCAAGATACAATTATTTTTTTCTGCAGAATAATATTCCATTGTGTAGATGTGCCACATCTTCTTTATCCGTTCTTCAGTTGAGGTGCATCTAGGTTGCTTCCAGGTTCTTGCTGGAATAATGCTGCTTTGAACATAGTTGAGTATGTCTTTGCTCCATGGATGTGGATCATTTGGGTATATGCTTAAGAGGGGGGTTGCCGGGTCCTGTGGTAAACTAATTCCCATTTTCCTGAGGAACCACCATACTGATCCCCAAAATGGCTGTACGAATTTGCACTACCAACAAAAGTGGAGGAGTGTTCTCTGTTTCTCCACATGCTCTCCAGCATCAGCTGTCATTGGTGTTTCTAATTTTAGCCATTTTGGCAGGAGTAAGATGGTATCTCAAAGTTGTTTTGATTTGCATTTCTCTGATAGCTAAGGATGTTGAGCACATTTTTAAGTGTCTTTCAGCCTTTTTGATTTCCTCTATTGAGAATTCTTTCTTCAGTTCTGTACCCCATTTTTTCATAGGGTTATTTGGTGTTTTGTTGATGTAGTTTGATAAGCCCTTTGTCAGATGTAGGATTGGTAAAAATCTTTTGCCAGTCTGTGGGCTGTCGTTTGGTCATGTCCACTGTGTCCTTTGCCTTACAGAAGCTTCTAAATTAGTGGAGGTCCCATTTATTAATTGTTGTTCTCAGTGTATATGCTATTGGAGTTATGTTCAGGAAGCAGTTTCTTATACCAATTTGTTCAAGGGTACCTCCTACTTTCTCTTCTAATAGTTTCAATGTGGCTGGATTTATGTTGAGGTCTTTGATCCATTTGGACATGAGTTTTGTACATGGTGACAGACATGGGTCTATCTGCAGTCTTCTACACACACTCATCCAATTGTGCCAGCACAATTTGTTGAAGATGGTTTCCTCCACCCCTTGTATTCTTTTAGCTGTATTGTCAAAAAATCGTGTGTTCATAGGTGTATGGGTTAATGTCATTATT